CATCAGCCACCAAATCATCACAAGCATCCAGCAATGAAAATGCATGGAACCTGAACTTTAACGAGATGCAGAGATGTGGGTTTAATCCAGAATTCTCATTTGGCTGCAAAACATGCTGCTTCTTCTGGGGTTATTAGTAACAGATCAAAGGGTTTAGAAGACATTGTTGGAAAAAGCATTTTTTGCTAAGTAGTGAGCAGGTTCATTGTAAGCTGAGATTACATGTACTTGTACTCTTTCTTATTTGTAATAAGTTTTATCATTACTAGAAAGAATCCTGGTTTTGTTGAATTCTTCATCAGTTTCCGTAATTTTTAGTCAAATAAACATATATATAGATTTTTTTCCTAATTTTTCTTTCGCAAATTGAATTTATTTTTTGTAATAGATTATTGGAAAATCTCTTCAACACCATACATAGACAATAGTATGAGTATTATTTTTCTCACCACGCAAGATCGGTAAAGAATTATCTACGAGTTAGAAATACATACAGTTCTGCTATTTTATATAACTATTAGATGATCATCTACATGTACACGCGGGTTTATTTTTCTAATATATATTTTTAAAATTTTATAAGTAAATGTTTTCTATCATTTCCTATACGTACAAAATTTTGGTAAAACGATTGTGTCATTTTAAATATTAAATTACTCTTAACAAATATTAATATCACATGTATTTCAATGATCACTTATCTATATTCTTTTGTGTATTTTTTTTTTTTGTAAATTATTGTTAGTCACTATAGACATATATCTAGTACTGTATATTAAAATATCAGTTCATAGTCCAATATATATTTTTAAAATATATTTATCTGCTTACCGATGGTTTATGCATATTTTCTAATGATTTTATTCTACATTTATTTTATGCGCTTATCTCTTAATCCAATATTTTTTATATCACTAGGCTAGAAGGCTTTTGGTGGGTATAAACAGAAATGAAACATTTTTGGCGCTTTTTTACCCATTGAGCTGAAATTGTTAGGAGTTAAGCGTAGAGCTGTTTGCTTTTGGTTGATGAAGCTATCTGTATTACTTATGCCCTGAACTGGAAATCAATTTTAGGGAGCTTATCATGATGATAATGGCAAGCCTGTTGTCTTGGAATGTGTCAGAGAAGCTGAGCGAAGGATTGCTGGGAGCTCTTTCATGTAAGATTGCTTGGTTTCTTTTTACTCCTCAAATGAGCTAGTTTTTATGTTTATGCTAATTGGTGAAGTTCCTGTGAAGAAAGGATTATTTTGCTGCTATCTTCTTTTCTTCTTCTTGGAATCAAAGTAAAACTGATCTGAACTATATGTATTGTACTAAAAGGAGTACCTTCCTATGGGAGGGAGTGTCAAAATGGTGGAGGAAACATTGAAGCTTGCCTATGGAGACGACTCTGAATTTATCAAAGACAAAAGAATAGCTGCAGTTCAAGCTCTGTCTGGAACTGGAGCATGCCGACTGTTTGCAGACTTCCAGAAACGTTTTTGTCCCGGTTCACAGATCTACATTCCTGTACCAACTGGTCCAAGTGAGTTTCATGCAGTTAACTTTGATCATTTCCAATGTTAATTCAAAACCGTGTACTCTGTAAGTGTGGCCAAGCTTCTTTTGCTTCCACATAATAGCAGTAGCTTATGTTGTCTTTTGTGAACAGCCACCACAACATCTGGAGAGATGCAGATGTCCCTCAGAAGACATATCATTACTATCATCCCGAAACCAAGGGCTTGAATTTCTCAGGATTAATGGACGATGTGAAAGTTAGCAAGAACAACTTCTTCGGCAAGCATATTTACATCTTAATCTTGTTAATAGCATCCTAATTATCTTCTACGCCTTTTCTCATAGAATGCTCCGGAAGGCTCGTTCTTCCTCCTTCATGCTTGTGCTCATAATCCTACTGGAGTAGACCCTACTTTAGAATTGTTCAAAAATACAAGGTGGACCCACATGCAAATAGAGCGCGTAAGCCTTACGCTCCAATGAGAACGTTAATCACGTAATTAGTACTCATTACTTGATATTAGCAGTGAAGTGAATACTTGAAAAGTGTTGATAACCTCCCAATCCATTAACAATAACTGATACAACTAATTTTGGATATTAGTATTGTTACCGGATCAGATATACAAATTGATTAAAGTACAGTGTATAGTGATAACACGTTTTTTAATTTGGGTAACAACTGATAGCATTTGCAGATTTTTGCAGAGAAAAAAAAAAGTTAAATCCATTTCTGAATTGGAAAAAATGTTAACAATATAAAAAAAATAATTATAAAAAACAGCATAACTGTATGTAATTTTTCATTTGTAGATGATTCTTTACCAATCTTGCGTAGTGGACAAAATAATACTCATATTATTGTCTATGTTTGGTGTTGAAGAGATTTTCCAATAATCTTTTACAAAAAGATAAGCTTAATTTACGAAAGAAAAATTAGGAAAAAAAATCTATATATACATTGTTCACTCCATCTAAAACTATGGAAACTGATGAAAAATTCAAAATCTCAAGATTCTTTCTAGTAATGATGAAACTTATTACAAATATGAAAGAGTACAAGTACATGTAATCTTAGTTTTTCACTCCGAAACCAGACTTCCCCATATAGAGATAAGGAAAGATAACTTCTACGAGATTTTGTGTAATCTATTCTAAGTACTCCTATTAAGTTTAGACTTTACATACTTGCATACATATCCTACCTTTGTTAATCAATAATATACATACACTTTTCCAATTCATTACATGGTATCAGAAATCTTTAAGATCTCTGACCTAATTTCTTGCGATTAACATCGGGCCAGCAATCTAAAATTTTACATAATCCATCATAGACATAAACCAAGTATGAGAACAGTGTTAGGTCTAAGGTTTATGTCTATGATGGTGTCTATAAGATTTCAAATTGCATGGCCTGATGTGGGGAAGTCTGGTTTTGGAGTGTATAAGTTTAAGCTAGTTAGAATCAATGGCAACCCGAGATGGGTAGTGCAAGAACGAGGTTTGCGAAAACACTTAAAAAGTATGCCGTCGATGGTTAGGCCTGCTGTCAAAGCTTATATACCCAGCAGGCCTAACCATCAAAATCTATATACAATGACATAGATGATATCAGGAACCCTTATGCTATGAGTACTCCTCTAAATCTGTCTTCCCATTTATGATTTACGCTAACAGAGCTGGCTGCGATTGTAGTTTCTCCTGCACTGACAACTGTCTTTGTTCCAGGAAAAACGGTGGTGCCAAGATATTTATTCACCAAAAGTATAAATTATTTTCGTCTCCATTTGTTCTTTTTTATTGAAGATGAAGTTAATCGTAAATGTAATTCTGAAGTTTTTTTTCCTTTGTTCTATTTTAAGTTGTTTAAAGAAAGCTAATTCTATAATATAATGTTGATTAAAAATAAAATATGAGAAATACATAGCAAATAAACACATTTTTCATAGACCACTGCACCATCTTAACCAACTCATATTTTATACAAAATGGCCGTTTGGAAGACGAGCATTGGGCTCACGGAGTTCATTGAAAAATGGATGAGCACATGCTTCGAGCTTTTAGACAAGGAAATATAACACATGTCAGTTAAAAAGCTTCAGCATCATTGAACAGTGCAGGTCCAAACAGAGAGAACCACTCTAAGAATTAAGAACCACTCTAAGAATTAAGAAAACAGAAAGCTGCAACGTAGACTCGGTGAATATTGATTGAAGAAGCGGCTTCTGGAGGCATCCACTTATGGAAAACCTGGAGGTCATAAAGTAGTATGTGTATTGTTTCAGCTTCTCTTTTCTACTAAGCTATTGTATGCTATTGTATGA